TATACGTTTAAAGTGAATAAAATTATTAATTCATTTTAAAGTTCATCTTTTGTGAATTTTCGGGTGAATAATAACAAATTATGGAAGGAAGTCGATACTTAATTTAAATATTTTTAGAAAATTAATATATGTGTATATATACATGTATATATTATACATATATGCATATACTTAGTCGGATCATTAGTTCTGTCAAAACCTTATTATTTAAAAAAATTAAATACTGGCTAGATGAACTTATCCAATTTTAAAAATATATCGTTGTAAAAACGACATTCGAGTGGTCGAAGAAAGAAGAGTAGCGGTTATCGCGTTGCACCACTGCGGTTACGTTCCAAAAGAGATTTTCAATATTCTACAAAAATTGAAAATAACCCTACGATTTGTTTATCGCACTATTAAACGATTTGCTGAAGATTCAAGCTTCGAAGATCGTAAGAGGACCGGCCAAACTCGTACAGTTAGGACACCCGCGATCATCAAAGCAGTGAAGGCGCAAATCGAACGAAATCCTGTGCGAGAACAAAAAATCTTAGCTCTTCAGATGGGCCTAAGTAGAACCACGGTCGAAAGAGTGATCAATGAAGACCTAGGACTACGAGCTGATCGTAAGAAGACCGGACATTTTTTGAACGAACGTATGAAAAAAATTAGGTTGGATAGATCCCGCGCTTTGTTACGGTGGTACGCGGGAAAAAAAAAACCGCGAAATTTTGTTTTGGAATGAAAATTTTTTTACCATCAAAGAAAGTCATAATAAACAAAATGATAAGATGTATGCCCACAACAGTAAACGTTCAATGAGCACATTATCTTTCGTCACTCATGGTTTGACTTGAAGTGTCATATTCAGGCTTAACTGAGGTGTTTTTCTGTGGAAAAATGTATAAACCAGTGCCAAGGTGTACCGAAATACCGTCCTAACAAACATACTGGTACCTCTTTCTCAAAAAATATTCAAAAACAGATATTGGATATTCTAACAGGACCTGTACCAGCTCATAGGGAACGAAGCACACAAAACTGGTTGACTGCCCATGGAACTGACTTTATCGGACATGAAGACTGCCCCACTTCTAGTCCAGATTTAAGCCCACTGGATTATGAGATATGGCAATATTTGGAGGTGAAAGTCTGCGCTAAACCTCATCAGAATTTGGAATCTCTCCGAACATCTTTGCCTAAAGCAGCGGCAGAAATAGATATGAGTGTGGTGCGTGCTGATATCGATGATTGGCCGCGTCGATTAAGGGCATGTATTCATAAGTAGGTGAATTTGCAGCAAATATGAAACAAATTAAAACTATTTGATAATATAAGTACTTAAAAATTTGTTACTAATCTTAATATCATATATACCAACATCTTTGGCTGTATATTACTGAGTTTTGATAAACAATAAAATTCAATAGGGTTGTCGAGTTCCTTATCTACAATACTTATCGATGTTTTTTCCTACCCATATCTGTTAACAAACAAAGTCACCAACAACAAGATGATTATCAAATGTTTATTAACAGGTTTCCAACTGAACCTAGACTAAAATTATGGCTTAAAATCATAAATATTGTGAATTGGCGTCCGAAACAAAATGATCATATTTGTTCCAAACATTTCAGAGACGACTGTTTTATTAGACATGAGAACTGCAACACTTTGAAAAAGTGCAGTATACCGACAATATTTTCTGGTAGTAACAGTACCAAGCACTACTAACTACCAAGTATTAAGTATTAAATTATTGTTTCGAATGTTTTTTTATTTCTTATTTCCTCATTTTCAATGTGGAAAAATGTGGAACTATAATGATATATAACTTTCTATAACTTTCAAATAATAATATAATATATATAATAATATAAAACAATAATAATAGTCAGTATAATACGCACGCCACCTAGTGTCAGTTAATTGTACCATGCGTATAACCTTCGCACAAGTGCAACCAATAAGTTGACTATGTTTTACCGCAATCTGATGAACGGTATGGCATCGTATAAAGTACGAACAAACATAATTTTTTATATAGTAGAAAATATTTTACTGTCTATAGACAGACCTGTAGTTGATTAGAATAAGCGTTATTATAGCAGCTGATTTGTTTTTTGTAATACTAAAACTAAATGAACGGTTGGCAATAAATTATTCTAGAAATTATGTTTTTATTTTTATTTTGTGTACTTAGTTTAATCTAAATAATTTTTTAGTTGGGCTATGATGGCTATCCGAGTACAGAACTAATCCAACTGTAGAGATGTGTAAAGCAGGGTAACGTAATATCCCCGAAATACTTTACCGCTGCATTGGAAAACGTTTTCAACCTACTGGACTGGCAATGATACGGTATTAACGTCAATGTCGTGTACGTCACTCACCTTCAATTTGCCGACAATATAGTCCTTATGGCACAATCGCTGGAGGACCTACGCACTATGTTCAATGACCTCAACAGTGTCTCCCAACGGATAGGTCTTAAGATGAACATGGACAAATTAAAAGTCATGTGTAATGTCCATGTCACACCTATGCCGGTGGTTTTTGGGAGCACTTAGCTGAAGTTGTTGAGTATTTTTATTGGGACAAATAGTTCGACTAAGTAAGTTAAACTTAGACCGACAGGTCAATCGACGGATTCAACTCGCCTGGGCAGCGTTCGGGAGATTACAGCACATCTTCTCGTCAGGAATACCTTAAAACTAGATTGTACAACCAATGCGTGTTGCCAGTGATGATATATGGATCTGAGACGAGGTCTTTCGCTGCTGGCCGTATGAGGAAGCTCGAAGTCGCTCAACGAGATATGAAGAGGGCTATGCTCAGGGGTTCAAACTTAGGAATGAGGATATCTGCAGCAGAACCAGAGTGACCGACATCGCCCAACGGATTAGTAAGCTGAAGTGGCAATTGACCGGCCACATAGCTCGAAGAACCGAATACCGATGGGGAAAAAAGGTTTTCGAGTGGCAGCTTGGACTGGCGGGTGAAGTGTAGGACGTTCCCCCACAAGATGGAGTCAAAACCCGGTAAGACGTGCAGGAAGTTGATGGAGGCAGGTAGCTCAGGATCGCGCTTTGTGACATTCCTTGGGGGAGGCCTATGTTCAGCAGTGGATTTGTAAAGGGTTTTAATGATGATGAATGATAATGGCATTATATTAATATGATACATAAAGGGAGAGTTTCTATTTATTTATGTATAGGTAAGGTATAGAATTTTTATCGATATAATTTGGTACACTGTCTTATCCCTAGTATTAGTTCCATGGACGTGCACTTCTGCTGTCAGCGCCAAAATGGCGGAAATCAAATCGCTTCATCGTGTCACGGTATATAGCCAGTCCAGCGTACTATATAGAGGTCAGTGGTATAAGGGCATTAATCTATTTGCAGCTCCAGCTCTTCCCTTCGCGCTCTTCATTGGAACCTCACCGCCTAGGACAATCGAGTCCTAGAGGTCTTTGCCCACGCGCACCGCTAGTTCAACCGCACCACGCCTGAAGCAGTCGCGCTTCAGGAGTAACCGCCTCACCTCGTGTGAGAAATAGTCGCGCACCGCTCTCTTCCATCGCATCACAGGACAGGAACGCATCTCTGGGCCCCAGAGAATCCGCCAGAAGTCGCAGCAACAAAGCGCCCAAGCCGCATCGAAGCAACACCCCGGTGAGTAACTTCCAGTTATAAGCCCGCTTGACATAATTGTATTTATTAGTTAATCCGCTCCAATTTAATTTTCTCCTAGCGTGATCAAGCGGGGTTCTTTCATAGACTTTGGCAAGCAATAGTTCGTTTAGGGAAGAGCGAGTGCATTGTCAGGAAAACCGCATGCTATAGTCGCCATTTTGTGGAGACTGAAGAAGTCATCCGCTTATACAGTCCATTTGGTGTAACATCTCGCGTAATAGGCTTAAGGCGCCGGGGAATTTGAATTCGGTAACCTTAGGCCCGTCGCTCAACCATTTTTCTGGTCTTGCTGTGTGACTGACTTTGACAATGGTATTTTATGAAAATATTTGTGAAATAAAGATCGAGAAAACAAAGCAAGTGGTATGAATGTATCTAGGGCGAAATACATGTAAAGCCGTGGTATGTTAAGCTGAAAGGAGCAAATCGTGTCTAATTACGACTATAAATCGATTGCGGTTCAACCCTCTCAAAACTCCTGCACACCTTGCTTGACTGATATTGCCATAGAGTAGAGTTATATAAACAGAAAGATATTGCCCTCGAACTTGTGCCCACATTGTGATCAAGTAGGAACTATTCACCACCTGTTGTTTGAATGCGGGCAACGGCTTTTATTAGTTAGTGAAGTGTGTGACAACGAAAGTTAAAACCGTCGCAAATAAGAATTCTCGCAGCTTGACTGTGCTTTTTAAGAATATGAAATAATTTCTGCCCATATACAAAATACTAAATCCACAATAGAAAATATATAAAAACGAAGATACCAAATGAAATGAAGACATGGTTTAAAAGACAAGTATCCAAGCTATGAAAATTTTATAAACATCTTATTAAAAAAAAAAGACTGACAATGACTGCTACATATTTATTTATCTATGATTGACAAAGGAAGGATGAGAATGAGATGAGATGATATTGATAAGCTGATAAGGTCATGGATGAGGTAAAAACAAAACATGCGTAGTAGGTCTACGCCTTAATATCTTCTTAATAGTCTGTGAACAAAATTATAAAGCTCAGCCCAGTCCAGTCCACAGAGTACTTCAGAGTACTTTGTCCAGTTTTTCTAGATGAGTCTAATTTTTTATATGTATAAATGCGCACATAAGTAGAGTGTAAAAACTATGATCACAAATTACCAAGCAAAGAGTACAATTCCTATATATACTTATTATACTCTTTGGAGTACAAATACAAAAATATTTAGTAACAAGTTGGTAACTATTTTAGCCTAATATGTATTAAGTTGTGAACACCGGTTGTAAACTACATAAACAGATCAAAAATTTCACTTTATAATTTTTTAACTTATTAGGTATGTCTCTAGTTTTACGTAGATCATATTCACTCAAGTTCAGAAAGAACGTGCCAATTTGTAATAAGTGTAACTCGTGGCCTGTTGGTGCTTTTAATATATTTAAGCGAAGTTTTAACGATGATAAGGTGAATAACCATGGCTTTAGCAGTAGCAGTATTATAATGGAAAATGGATACAATGTTCAAGAGCTTCCAATACTTATAAGAAAACTTAAAGATATAAGTGATTTTGAAAAAGATTCTAAAGTAGAGTCACCGCAAAGTACTGGCGATTATTATACGAATAATAATTATCATGTAATTCAAGCAGAGTTTAAACAATGTACGGATTTACGCGATGTGTTTTTATTGATTTCAAGGTGTGCCAAAATCACTCCAAGCATTGCATTGGGTGCAATAGAACGCATTTACGATTTAGAAAACAATCCAATTTCATTGGTTATTGATAATGATATAAAAAATGATCATAATATCAGTGTTGCAAAGGCGGCAATTTTAGACAAACTACTAAAAGTAGTTATGGAAACTAAAGATACATATACTATTCTGAATATTTTAAAAACTGTTTCTTCAGTAATAGAACCACACAAACATAATTTTTGTGAAGAGCTTCTTGCTAGAGTTGTTGATAACAAGCTGACATTGAATCAACTTTGTGATTTTATAAGTTATTTAATAGCTAATAGTAATGATTCTAAATACTCAGAACTTGTAGATAAACTGTGGATAGGATTTGTTGAAAGGGAGAATGAAATTAATGAAAATAATATTGTAAACATATTTAAAATTTTGCCTGGCTTAAAATCGAGTAGAAGGACAATATTTATTTTATTGGAACAGAAATTATCAGATATATGGTACAAAATTACGGCCCCATATATGCAGGAAATTTTAGAGATATTTCTACGAGAGAAATGCTTTTCACTACAGTCTTTTGCAGTTGTCGGTACCTGGTTTAATATGAATATTCATTCTTTAGATGACGATGCTCTGTTAGATATAATAACAAAGCTCACCAGTTTAAATTATACTGATAATCATATAGAAAAAGCTGTTGAAAAATATATGAAACATAAGAGTGCTAAAATTACATCTCATGTGTTGATAGTAGGTATTTTAAAATATTGCATGCAATTTCAAATTCGAAATAAATACATACTTAATGGATGTGGTCAATTTCTTTTAAAAAACAAATATTATATACCTACAAGTTTTTTGAAGAGCTTTATTTATCCATTTGGCTACTTAAACTATTACCCAGATTGCTTTGAATTTTGGACAGCGGTTTAGGAGACCTTAGTTGAAAATTTAGAAAAAATTAATATTGATGATCTTTCTTTGATAGTCCTTTCTTTTATTTATGCTGGGAAACATCCTTTACAACTAGTAAATAAAATGTTTACTTCAGAATACTTAACAAGAATCACTAAACCTGAGATCATGAAGCGTCTTAATTTAATTGATACTGCATTATCTTTGGAGTGCAAAGAGTATCCAGGACCTTTGGTACCCAAAGACCATTGGTTAGAACCTGTAATACAGGACAAGAGAATCGAGAACATGTTAGAGAAGATAAATGGCATATTTTCTTCTATAGTAGGAAACTCAATAAAAATATCAAATGCTGTATTGATACCAAACATTTGTTCAGATCAGACATATCTAATTGATGTTATGCTACATGAATCAGAAATTGGACAAAGTTTGTGTAACTGGAAACTCAAATCTATGAAGAATAAATTTATTGCAATTTTAATTCATCTTCCCGATCATTATTGCTCTGACAACAGTACACTTATTGGACCACAGAATTTAAGGGTTAAACATTTACGTATGTTGGGTATTAAAGTGGTGAGTCTAAAGTATTCAAAGCTCAGTCAATTTTATACTTCACATGATAAACCAGCTATGATAAAATATGTAAAAGACAGCATCAACAATGGTGTTCCATGTTTGTAAATAAATTGATTAATCACAATAAAAAATCTTTATTTTCATGTCTGAAAATGTGTTATGAAAGATTAGCTTTTCGGTTTCTTATGTGTGATATAGAGTTAAATTTAGTGGTAACTTTTTTTTTAAAGAATATTAACAATGATATAAACATCACTAATATTTCCCTTAACCACTCGTGGTAAGCTTAAATTGCTTGTGTTACGAGTGGTTCACGCCAGTAGTCGAATAGCGGATTCGAAACCACAACCTTTTTGAGTTCGCGGTCCGTGCCCTGCCATTAGGCTACTGTTGCTTAAACTCTCAACTCTTGTTATTGTTTAAAAATATTTTTCTAGTCTTGTCAATAAAACATATTATGTAAAGCAAATATTTCGTGTATTATTTGTTATGTATTAAGTATTTGAATAGTGGTTTGAAATGTTAATAAATTAATGTTTCCTGAAATACAAAATAAAATATATCTTACATCAGCCCCTTAGTATTCCACTGCTGGATGAGGATTTACTGTAATTGCAATGGCTAGATTAACTTTTTTTTAGCACATAACACACTTGATGTGGAATTGAAATAAATAATGCCTATTCATTTTATATTTTCATATTTGTTTTCTTTTTATAAAATCGTCTCCTTATAAAACTTGCAGACAGTCAATGGATGCTGATGGCCTGTAGTGATAGTGATCCATATCAATACTATTGTTCTTGATGATACTCCTAGTGTCAATATTACTATATCTGGCAAATAGTACATATAAGTATATTTAGTATAGTTATAAAATATTGTTTAGCTTGCTATCAACCAAAGGCCTTAGGATCAATCCTGTTTTAATCATAAAGTTAAGAAAATGTTTTTTATATAACAAATATTTTTTTAACATAATTTAGCCATACTGCAGCTATATTAATTGTATAGTTGTAGCACGAATGGGTCTGCTGGACCAGGGAAAGACCACGCTCTCACAGAATAACAGTGTAAAATAGCAGTTTAATGGTGCTGTGTTTCGTACGGTGAGTGACCGGAGACCCTTTTAACTGGAAAAGAGGCATTCTATCTTAGTCCTCACGGCTGACAACGCATCTGCATTTTGATTCACAAACGAGGTTAGATTTAAATGTCTATGGGCCACAGCAACCACTTACTATCAGGTGGACCGTGTGCTTGCTTGTCACCCTTACACTATAAAGAAAAGTGACCAACGAACTGAAAGCCCACCTTCTAGGAAGGGACTACTGTTGTCCATGGACACCTGCAGCCAACTTCAAATAAAGAAGGTGATGTGTTGTCACCTCTGAGGACTAAGACGGAATTTCTCAAAAGATTATACTGGCCCCCTGTACTCTTTAGACCGAAGTAAGCAGTGCTGCTATTAGACGGCAGATATAGGTGAAAGTTGGAACTTCCACAGACGGTTTCCTTGGCAGAAAAGAAGGCCTAGCAGTCCTAGGTTGAAAATCGCGGTAATTATGACATCTCGATTTAGAGATGGCGTTTAGTACTGAACTTTCCATGCTGCTAATGGATTAAAGTTTAATGTATTTATTTATTTAAAAGCTTTATTGTTCTAACCATAAAGGTTACAAAGTGTGGACTTAATGCCAGTTAGCATTCTCTGCCAGTCAATCCATGGCGTGGTGAGAAATTAGTGGCAGGTGACTTACATAAGCAAATATAATAAACTTATATAGATATAAGTAACACAAATTAAAATAAAGCTTGTAAATTACACTAATACATATGAATACAAACAAATACATAATATTCCATATATTAAGTATAACAATTATCCTTAAAACCTACATACATTTATGGTACTACTACATACAGGTATGATTATGTAAAAAATAAGGTAACTCGTGGTGCTAATTAGATAAGAGGGAAGCGGTACAGCCACGGATATTGTTTCAAAAAAGTTTATCCTAACCTTGACTACGTATTATACCTACTATTATTTATTGCGTTTTGACTAGGATCATCAAATTTGGTCCTCGCTATTGTTTATTTACAAGTTTGTTTCGGACGGCAGGGACACGTCCAGTGCCCGCAGTCGCCCTGGGACAATTTCCCACTTTATGACGTACGTTCCTTGCCTAGTGCTGGTCACGCACGTCCCACGCACCCCTGAATGCGTATTGTTACGAGCTTGAGGTTCGTGACAATAAAAATTGCCGATAAAATTACCTAAATTAACACTTTAATTTACTTTACACAAATTAAAACTAAAAACACTAATAATTAAACACACTAATTCACTGTAGAGTCGATTAGCATACACATGTGTACCAAACATAAACACCTTACGCTCGCTCGATCAAGATACACATGTGTACCACAAGTACTACCCTTTGAAAAATAATTTTTTTAATTAAAACAAAACCAAAGACACTATGCAATAGATAATAGTATCAAAGACTCTTTTATTTTAAACCATAACCTGGCAATGTTTCTTAGAAAAAAAAAAGAATCTGAAAGATATGCTCTTTTATTTTAAACCATAACCTGGCAATGTTTCTTAGAAGAAAAAAAAAGAAATCACTCTGAACTTTCGGCGTTCCACGTGTCGCTTTGATGAAGGTGCTCCGTCTTTTTTTATAGAATTTTATATTTGTGTCTGACTAAAAACGAAAGTATTATACTTTTTTATATTCTTGTAATATAGTAAACACGTAGATATATAATTTGTGGTATAAAAAGTGAAAAGTAAATTGCCAAAAGTACTTCGAAATACGGAACGCCCATTTTGGCGGTTGGGGTCACAAATGTGTTATTTTTCCAATTCTCATTTATTTTTAGTGTAAAATGTAAGTAAAAATAGTTTTCTTACATATTTCAAATAACTTGACGTTGTATTTATTTCAAATTCACACAAAAATTTTTGAAATATTGTTCGAAATGTCATACAGATAAATATTATAATTATTATTTTTTTTAATTTTTTTTATATTTTAATATTTTGGTATGAGTAACGAATAGAAACACATAAAACATAAAAATATACATATTTCCAAACATTTTCATATAAATTTCTCCAAAAACAAAAGTGTAGAATTCAAATTAGTAGTAATTTTGGCACTAAAAGTAAAGTATATACTACTACTTATGCTATAAAGGGTAATTTATGAATTTTATTATAATTTCTAACAACCAAAATAATTTTATTCAATAGTTTATACATTCAACAAGAATTCCTGTAAGTTTTATCCATAAATATTGTCTCAAAGTGAAAATATAGCAAAATTTGCAATATAGCAAAAAATTTGCTAATTTGCAAATTTTCCCGCCATTACGGTCGCGAACGAACGGGAGTGTCATATTACGCGTGGCCTCGCGAGCTAACAGGTTAATTCCGCTCCGAAGCTTCGCTTGTGTCGCCGAGTTCAACTCTGCCTCGATCGCATCTTGCAGCGCCTATATATTTAAATTAGCAAAGAAATATCCAGAATGTTCAAGTAAACACGCGCAAGGTACCGAGCGTTCGAGTTTCGACTAGGCGCTGTCGGTTGAGTGATTTGTGATGTCATTTTCTCAATGCTCCCCTCGCTCTCGTTCCTGACACTAGATGGCGCTAGTGTATTGTCGATTTGAGCTCGTAACACTGCCCCCCTCCTAAGACATGCTCGTCCCGAGCATTATCGGCCCCATAATAACGCGCTAGGCGATCCACATGGACGATCTTAGGAGTCCCTCTTGCGCCTTTCTGTAACGGCTTCGCAATGTCAAGGACTGTCCTATCCCGTGGTGCACCAACATTGTACAATTTCGGTGCTCCTCTACTATGTGTCCGAGGTCCCCGCACGGCCGCACAACTTGTACATGTACGACACCAATCCTCGACATCGTCACGATAATGGACCCAGTAAAACTGTTCTCGGACCTTCAGTAGAGTTCGTTTAACTCCCAGATGGACTCTTGAACGACCATTATGGCATAACTGTAGAACATTCGGCACTTTAGCTTTAGGGACAACCATTTGCAAACGACAGCTGTCTCTTCGACCATTGTCCCATTTACGGCACAGGAATCCATCCTGAATCAGCAAGCTGTCCCATTGGGCCCAATAGCTTTTCGTGGTTGAACTCATCGCTGAGACGTCCCTCCACTTAGGCTTGGTAGCACGGGCCTTCATCCATCCCAGAATCGGCTTGATGTCCGGATCTTCCTGCTGTGCATGTCGTAGGTTGTCCTTCCACCCGTTGCTGAGGTGGTCTGTCCTGAGCATCCTCACGGATACCACCTCCTTACTCTCTTGCCTACTACAATGGTTGCAATCTTCAGGACAAGGTCTTCTTGACAATGCATCTGCGTTGCCGTGAGATTTCCCGCTGCAGTGTCTGATAGTAAAGTCGTATTCCTGCTGCTGCTGGGCGGTGCTGTTAGCCGCACTTCCTTTCTGAGACCGTTCACCTTCCCTTCCTAGGGTGTGCTCAGGGCAGCTGGACCGAAGATGGCCCCTTTCCCCACAGCCATAGCACCTAGGGCTGTATCTTTTATTGTGGTCGCGAACCGTAACTGCTGTAACCTCCCTAGCGTGAGGTGAACGATGATCCTGTCGCCGCCAGGCAGTGTCGTTAGCTGCACTACCCTCTCGAGATCGATCAACTCTCCTTTCCACGGTTCGCTTAGGGCAGCTGATTCGACGATGGCCTTTTTCCCCACAGCCATAGCACCTTGGGCTGTATCCATTGTTGCGGTAGCGAACTGTAGCTGCTGCAACCTCCCTGACGCGATGGGAACGATGATCCTGCCGCACGGCTTCCACTTCCAGTGCATGGGCCAAGGCGTCCTTAAGCGTCTCGTGGTGCCCGAGCCTCACAGCAACTCTGACTTCCAGGTCGCGGATGCCGTCGATGAATGTCTGCACCAGGTTCCCTTCAATGAGCGCAGGTACAGACCGGTATGCTTTTCGCACCAGCTTCTCCACTTCCAGAACCCACTGCTGCAGGTTTTTGTTGATGCGCTGCACGCGATCTTTAAGCTGCGCACGAAAGACATGTTCCAGGTGAGCG